ACTCATTTGTGGTTGTCTCTAATATTAAAAATGCTATTGGCACACTTTACTAAGTTGCACATAACACAATCAATTAGTTTCAGTAGAAAAAAAAAAGTATTGCGGACGCAAGGGTATTGAATTTCTATATACATTATTCTTTTTGAGATTAAATGATATTTTTCAATTCAAAAGTACTCAGACTCTTGCTTTTTTGCGCCAACTAAGAATATCCTTCACATGTGATCAAGTGCCATGATGAAAAGAAGCACTCATTTCTTGAAAAAGAGAGGCAAAAACAAGTAATAGGGGACACAGTTGCTAAAGGCCAAAGCATAGGATCAAACAACTCCTCTTATTATAACCCCTCCATCTCATAGCAAATGCTTTGTAAAATTCTGCACCTTCTTACCAAATGAATTTATAGAACTACTAATATTTAAAAATAAAATACTAGTATTCGGATTACACCATCTATATGTGGTTCCCTTAATTAGTTAATTAGTCACATAACAATATTCTCAATTAATTAGGATATTAATCGAGCTATTCCCTTTCTTATAATAAAGCTACTCATTAAATTCTAAGGTCGATATAATTTCCCTTAAGCCAGAAATCTAATCACCCTCGTGTTCCTATAGGATTTCCCTCAAGTCGAAAGCCTAGGCACTCTCATATACAAAATGAATCCATACGATTTCCCTTAAGCCAAAAATCTAGAGACCCTTATCAAAAAATGAATCTGTATAGCTTCCCTCAAGCCAAAAACATAGATTCCTCAATTGCAATGTACTTGTACGATTCCCCTCAAGCCGGAAGTCTAGGTATTCATTGCATATAATGTATCGACACAATTTCCCTCAATCCAGAAATATGGATACTCTCAACATAACACATCCATATTATTTCCCCCAATCCAAAAATATAGAGATGTTATCAACATACAATGTATCAATATAATCTCCCTTAAGCCGAGAATATAGATATCTTTAGATACTATGTACATGTCTGATTTTACTTAAGTTGGAAATCTAGGGGGATGCATAAAGTAGAAACATTCACACTTGCACATTCTTGCTTTACTATAGGATATACCTTCTCAATAGCTCTCTAACATATCCAACAACATCTCGCCTCGAGTTATAGATCTCAAACTACGTTAAGATCACTACCCCTACAATTCTAAACAAGTCGGCTCGCTTGGTGACACTCAAGCGAGACCTTATAGAACTAAAACTTTTCCCAAAATAGGTCCTTCATTTAGCGAAAAACAACTATCTCTAAGTGAGATCTTATTGGGCATAATATTTTCTCACTAAGCGAGTATACTAGAACTTTCAGGATTCATAACACAGAAGTCACAATCATGAATACATTAAACATGTCAAGGAAGGAAATAATCATATATACACCAAGGTCATACCATCATGGCATTATTCTAATCTCAATGAATGAAATTATTACAATGGATAGGATCTCATTTACATATCAACAGAGAAATTCAAACTTAGCAACCAAACATAAACTTATCACATATCACAAACTGTCATATAAGCATGATATTTAATCATCATAACATAGAGAATTGGACTAGCTTTCTAACACATTCGAGTGCATCTCATTTGGAGTTACGGAACTAAAAATACATTGATTTCAGTGGCAATACAATTTTGTTCGTATCAACAGCTCTCGCTAAGCAAGCAAAATTTCACTAGGCGAGAATGACTATAACTTTTCATGAAAGTTAGTGTTCTAACATCACATTTATCACCCCAATCCACCACCCATCCATCCCTAACCTATACTAACATGCTTGGGGAACAAAAAAACATAAAATCGGTACATGCATACTCAATAATCATACCATTGTCATGAATTTCAGGCATTAGCACAAGACCACACATGAACATACAACCCTAAGCTTCTAACCCCAAGTTCTAACTAAGAACTTACCTTGAAGAGAATATTTTGAGTTGGGTGTTTGAGAGATGAAGAAAATGATGATGACTTATACACTTGATCATTGCCCTTCTTCCAAATCACCAAAGCTTCGTGCCGGCGAGGATGAGGAATCAGAACAAAAACGAGAATAGCTTCGTGTCGGCGAGGGTGAGTTGATGAACGGTGCTGATAAGGTTCGTGCCGGCGAGGGTGAGATGATGAATGGTGCTGAAAAGCTTCGTGCCGGCGAGGGTGAGATGGAGAAGACGATGAACAGGGCTTCGTTCTGATATTTCGTTTTGGGTTTCGTGGGTATTCTGAACTGTGCTGTTCAATATTTCATTTTATTTAATTTTGATATTTGAGCTACCACGGCGCTTTTAGCCTAAAAAGCGCTTTAGTAGCATCAGACCCTATGCCAGCGCTTTTGAAAGCGCTTTCAAAGGCCAATCTTCCACAGCGCTTTTTAAAAAGCGCCTTCATAACCCTATTATTTCGTTTTTATTAATATTTTTATTTGACCTACCACAGCGCTTTTAATGTAAAAAGCGCTTTCGTATCCCCCACCTATGCCAGCGCTTTTAAAAAAGCGCCTTCGTAGGTTTCCCTTTTTTTTAATTTTGTTTTTTGTGAAGGCTATGACAGCGCTTTTTCAATAAGCGCTTTAGTAGAGGCGCTGCAAAAAGCAGTTTTTGGCGTAGTGATGCTTCACAAACTCTTTCCTAATTTTTGACGTTCCTTTAATCCAACCTTATTCAACCATGGAAGTTAAAACAACATTCCGCCTACCCCTACTTTCCACATAAGCGTGAAAAAAAACCTAAATTTGAGTTATCCTTTTTAGCCACCTAGACCTCAACCTTTAAAACAATAAAGAATATTTAATCCTTAGCAAGGACCAAATATCTACAATCTCTTTAGATCTAGTCTGAATATCCTCCATATATAGGGTATTTATAACAACCATAGAAACCACATTAATCACCACCTCTTTTAAGGCGTTAATATGAGAGTCAATATTTTCAAATACTTATTTATTCCAAACTTTTAAAACCAATTTGAGAGCTTTTAATTTCTACCACAAATTAAGGCTTTCCAACCATGGATCATTGTACCAGTATAATAAGAAGACTGAACTAACTTAGAAGCTCTCGCTCTAGACAAACTTTTAAGAACCTAGGACCAGAGAAGGAGAACGAGGATCTATCTTTCGAACTAAAGCTTCAATTACAAAATGAGTTACTTCACAAAGAATGGACGAGATAATGAGATGCCTCACTAAGTTAGGTTTCATGAATAGCCACAAAATCCAAATTTGCAGCTTACACGATTACTTCAGCTTCATTTCCCTCTATTGCTCTACTCAAGTTCAAATTCTACTTAGATATCAACCGTAAACCACTAATTACTACTTAATATGTCACTATATTTATTGCTTTAGAGATATGATCAAATTGCGTGTACCATGAGATAGCTTCACTTTTCTTTTGATCCTACATGTCGTTGCTAGCATGAACCACCTTGAACTGGGATATCAGACTCATGGTGTTGTTCTGAAGTTGGATTGGGATCAATTCATCTATATTGCAAATAGTGTTATTAATATGTATGTTAAGGTTGATTATGTTTACTACACAAAAAGTATGTTTGGTTAGATGAAAAAAATCAATTTAATATCATGGAACATTGTCATATGTGGTTGTGCTCTAAGATGTTTAGGAGAGTAATTTTTAAGGTTGTTTCATGATTTATTACTGAATGGACTTTGCTGAATTATACAATGTAATGTCCATGATAGACACCCTTATATGATTTTTTAATGTCTTTTAATTGTGTTTAGTTCTTTGTGACAATTATTCAATGACATGGTAATAGAAGTTGTATTAACTTTAGAGATTGAAGATCATTCTTATAAGAGAAACATTGTAAATACCAAACTATAGCTAGACATGTACTTAAAATAAAACATACAAGATAAATCAGATGCTAAATTTACAATCTAAGGGACAATGTAAGAAAGTTTGATAGTTTGAGTATGATAACTAATACAATGGAATAAAGATTATTGAATAGAGACTAAGTTAAGAATCAATTCAATTCAAACATAGTACACAGGTGAAATGAGTAAATGAGAGCACATACTCGCAAGACTATTTATGCTATTTGATTGTATTGAAATCTTTGTGCTATTATTGCATAACATGTTGGGCAATATAGTTAATACTACACTCTTCTTCGCCTAGAAGATCCATTTACCAAATCATATATATACATGTGTGTTTCATTTTCTCATGCATAATCATCTATCTTTAACTTTTACAACATATTAAATCTTAATTTAATTTAATATCCATACTTTTGTTTTAACTTAATGAGATTTAAGACCGTGCACTCTCTTACCCAAAAAAAAAAAGGCCATTTATTATTATTATTATTATTATTATTATTATTATTATTATTATTATTATTATTATTATTATTATTATTATTAATAATAATAAGTCTACATTCAGTGGTAATGGTTTCGTGGAAATCTAGGTAGACTGGGATGAAATTTCTTGTTATTTGGTCACTGTGACTTGATGGAAAGAGAATCTATGAGCAAACTTTTTGCCTTTTAAATCGGAAAATGATGAATGAGAATGGTGTGTATTCATGCTAGGATATATCTAACGGCTGTTGTATTCATGCTGATAAAATATTTAAATTCAAAATATCTTATAAAAATTTCATCAAACCCTAGTAAACTCAACAGTTTACAAACTCACATCAAACCCTAACAAAGTCCCATCATGCCGTAACGCAACTCACAACTCATTAATCAAACCCTAAGAAAGTGAAAATAGCATAAAATAAGACTAGCTTATTGTTGTATTTATTTTAGTAATATTGACCTATACAATCACTCGCTATCAAGAATTCTAATCACTGATTTACTTGTAGAATCTCGAATGGAAGAGATACGGACGTGGCTGAAATCTGGCCTTAAGTTTTTTGGTTCGTCTCCTAGCTCTGACAATAAAAGCTCTGTCTCTTTTAAGAAGGAGGGTCGCAAATCAGGAGAACAGAAGTATCATGATATGAAACAAAACGGTGCCGATGATGGTTTACTGTGCGAGAGGAGTTATGATGAGGAAATTATGAACTTACATGTCACGCATTTAGAAGAAGAGATTATCAAATTGAAGGGTCAAGTTGAGAAGAGTGAAAACAAGGTTGATGATTTGTCGGAAAAATTGAAGTTGAAAGAGGAAGAGTTGCATAATCTGAAAGAGTTTTCTGATAAAGTGGTTTACAAGTCCAAGGTTGGGTTGGTTGTAATTGGTAGTTTTTGTTGTTTTTTTTATCTGTTGGATTTGCTTCTGCTTTGGTACTCCTTGTGCCTCTTTTTGGGGTTTTATTGTATTTTTTCGGAAAAATTGAAGTCGAAAAAGGAAGAGTTGCGTAATCTGAAAGAGTTTTCTGATAAAGAGATTTACAACTTGAAGGCTCAAATTGAGGAATGTGAAGCCAAAAAACATGTTCACGAGATAGCTAATGAAAAGCTCAAGATATCAGAAGATGAAAATGAAGTTTTAAGGAAGGAGCTTGAGAGTAAGTCATGTGAGACTCATGAATTGCAAGGTCAGCTTATAGAGGCAGAAGAAAATATGGCTGAATCAGATTTGGAGTTAGTTTCAGGGAGAAAACATATTCAAATACTAGAAAACTTGGTTATAATATATGAGCAAGAGGTGCAAAAATTGAAATCTAAAATGCTTGATTCACAGGATAACTTTTAATGGTTTATAGGCGTAGTGACAGTCGCATTGTTCTTAGTTTTTTTTAAGGTTGCATATTAAGTTTTCTTTATATAGTCATTTTTCTTTCCATTTCAATATTAAGTTGTGTCTTGTTTTTATTTTCTAGATTTTTGGTAGTAATTGATTTTTCATATTTGTTTCTTATGCATTCCTGCTATGCACCTAAACATTGCATAACACTGTCTTTCTTGAAGCATTTAATTGAAGTTTTTTATGTTCATTTTCTTATAGTTTTGAATTTTGAAATAAATATTATGAATATTGCTAATTATCGCCACAAAAACAAAAACGATATTTCGCGACAGTATCCTGCATTTTCAGTTTCTCTCAAGTAGAATGGTTATTGAAGAAGCCAGTGCCAAAATATAACTTAGCTTTGTGCTTCACTTTCTTACTTGAATAGCTTTACCATGGCTCAAATCTGACTTAGAATGTGAGTTGAAAACTTGGTTACTGATGTCGACTTAGTTTCCGATAAATTCATTAAAATTACCAAAAGAGTAAACGTAGGAAATCTTTTTCCAATGACTATAGATTTAAGGTGATTGCAAGTTCATGACAAGAGTAGCAGAACAATTGATGGAAGGAGCATGTAGCCTAATAATATATTAATATTTTTATTGACAAGTATACGTTATTGCTTATTATTAGATTATATATTTGGATTATACATAATAGTACTAGAGATTTAAGCTTTTCAAAAAAATTGAGAATTTTTTAATGCATTCTAAATAGTTGAAAATGTCTTTTAGATTTCAAAAATATATTTTCGAACGCATTTAAAATACTACAAATAAATGCGTAAGTCAAGAGGAATCATCTTTTCGTCTTCTCTGCGTTTGTGTGTCTTGTGTGTTTCGTTTCGCGAAACCTTGGATTATCTATTGCTTAATTGTTGTGTCGCTAAGATCATTTGGAGAGACATGGCGGAGTGGATCAGTTTCGAAACTTTTGTGGCTTGGCACAGTTTTTGCAAAGCCAATAAGATGAAGAAAGGTAAGGAAGGATTAATTTGGTTGGCTATTTGCTGGAATGTTTGGTTTGTGTACTGAATGGGGTTATTTTTCGGGGAGACGAATGTGTAGGTGTTTAGGTATTGGCTTGCATTTTTGGTAAATTCCAAGTGTATGTGTGAATGTCATGACTGATGTCATAACATTCTAGTTCAGGTTGTACTAACTCTTTAGGTACATATGCAGAAAAATATTGTAACTCAAATACTGATGTTTATAAGTGTGTATCTGAGCATGTTTGCAAAATGATCACATTTAGCTAATCAGTAGACAGGTTTTCTCAGATGTCATAACAGATGTTATGACATCCTGTTCTGAACTAGCAGGATTACAGGATTGGATAAGTCTGAGTTTTTTCAGGAAATAACTCAGTCCTTCTTAAATAGAATCCTGCGTTTTCTGAGGAGTAACCTCGCTCAATCCTAACCTGATCAACAAAGTACTGTGACCTGGTCATTAGGTCAAGAGGAATCAACCCTAGGTTTTTGGAAACCCTAACTGAAGTTGCAGCTGCTATATATTCAACAGAGCTGCGGTTTTTGAAGTTATCCCTGCTGATTATTTAGAAGATCAAGTTTGTAATCTGTATAGATTTGTTTATTGTACTCCAAGCAATTATCATTGTGATAAGTGTCTTGGAATAGGTTTCAATTGTAAGGGTTGTGTAGCACTCAAAGCTTTGAAGCAAGAGTGTTTGAATGTTACTTGACTAAAGCTGTGAAGCAGAGTCAAGTTAGTTGTGTACATCACTCAAAGCTGTGAAGCACGAGTGATTGTGTTACTTGATTAAAAAGCTGTGAAGTTTAATCAAGTGTGTGTGTTTTGAAGAGTGTCTTCAACAATTCTCAAGTCAAATTTGTTTATGTATCACTGCTGTGATTGAGGGGGAGTGAGTAGGAACTCAGGTTTAAGTTGTACTTAGATTAGAATTGCATTGGGTAGGTCTTAAGTGAAGGAGATAAACTGGTTGGTTTATTCCTGAATTAACATCTCTTATAGTGGATTCTCTCCCTGGCTTGGTAGCCCCTAGAGTAGGTGTTGTTGCACACTGAACTGGGTAAACAATTGACTGTGTTATTTACTGCTTTTGTATTTGCTGTCATATAGTAAGTCAGATACGGTGTCATAACATTGGACGTGACATTGAGTATCTGTAGCCAGAATTTTCAATTGGCATCAGAGCAGGCACCCTGCCTGTATTACTGGGTGAGATCTAGGGATATCACTTTCTGGCACTATGGACAAAGAAGGAGTTTTTGGAAACAGACCACCCATTCTGGATGGAACTAATTATGACTACTGGAAACCTCGTATGATTGCCTTCCTAAAATCTCTGGACAAAAAGGCTTGGAGAGCTGCTGACAAAGGATGGATTCATCCCACCATAACTGAAAGAGATGGGACAATCAGTCTGAAGCCTGAGGAAGATTGGAGTAAAGAAGAAGATGAGTTAGCTCTGGGAAATTCAAAAGCCTTAAATGCCTTGTTCAATGGAATTGATAGAAACATCTTCAGATTAGTACATCAATATGAACTGGCCAAGGAAGTTTGGGACACCCTCAAAACTACTCATGAGGGCACTTCCAAAGTAAAGATGTCAAGGCTTCAGATGTTGACCACTAAGTTTGAGAATCTAAAAATGATGGAAGATGAAACCATCCATGAATTTCACATGAACATCTTGGAGATTGCCAACACCTCAGGAGCACTGGGAGAAAAAATGTCAGAAGAAAAACTGGTGAGGAAGATTCTCAGATCCTTGCCTAAAAGATTTGCAATGAAGGTAACTGCCATAGAGGAAGCCCAGGACATTAGCAAGTTAAAAGTGGATGAACTTATTGGGTCTCTTCAGACTTTTGAGATGGGGATCACTGATAATGGTGACAAGAAGAACAAAAGCATAGCACTTGTAACCAACACTGATGTTGAACACAAGGAGGATGAAGAAGAAAACATATCAGAAGCCATTGCCATGCTTGGAAGACAGTTCAACAGGCTCATCAAAAGAATGGACCCAAAGTCAAGGTCAAATGTTCATAACATTCCTTCTGACATTGACAGTTCCAGCAGAAGACCAAGATCAGAAGATAAGGAAAACCAAGGCAGAGGAATTCAATGCCATGGATGTGAAGGATATGGACATATTCGAGCTGAATGTCCTACCTTTCTTAAGAAGCAAAAGAAAGGAATGACTGTTACTTGGTCTGACTATGATTCAGAAAGCAATTCTGAAGAAGAATCTGCCAAACTAGTTACTGCCCTAACAAGTGTTTGTACTTCTGAAAGTGACACCAGTGATGAAGAAGTAACATTTGAAGAACTGGCTGATACCTACAAGAAATTGTGTATCAGAAGTGGTGAAGTCTGTGTGCAAAATGAGAAACAATCAAAACTCATTGTAAAGCTGGAGGCTGAAAAGAGAGCAAATCTTGAAACTATAAGTCATTTAGAAGGAGAAGTTCAACTGCTGAACTCACAACTGAATCAAATGACCAAATCAGTCAAGATGTTGACAAATGGAACAGACAAATTGGAAGAGATTCTTCAGACTGGACAAAATATGGGAAATAAATCTGGCCTAGGATTTGTGGAAACAAAGAAAGTTGTTACCAGGAAGCAAATGTCAAACCAGATGTCTCAACATTACTCTCAACATCAGGGACAGAGACACATGAAGAAGAGGTACCAAAGATGGAGATGTCATCATTGTGGGAAATATGGTCACATAAAGCCCTTCTGCTACAGACTACATGGATATCCTAATCAGAAATCAGATGTCAAACCTAAGTCTAAAAAGGTACCACACGCTCCTCAATGGAAGAAAAAGGCTATTGCACTGATAGCACACACTTCCCTGAAGATCTCAGCAAAGGAAGATTGGTACTTTGACAGTGGATGTTCCAGACACATGACTGGATTCAAAAATCTCCTCAATAATGTTATGCCTCACACCACCAGTTTTGTGACCTTTGGAGATGGTGCTAAAGGAGAAATCAAAGGAGTTGGTAATTTGGACTACCCTGGAGTTCCAAGTCTGAATAAGGTACTGCTGGTAAAAGGGTTGACTACTAATCTCATCAGCATCAGTCAATTATGTGATCTAGGATTCATGGTCAACTTCTCAAGATCTGAATGTCTAGTGTTTAATGAAAAACTAGATATTGTAATGAGAGGAATAAAATCCAAAAATAACTGTTATGTGTGGCAGCCTGAGAACACTGATATCCACACTTGGAGTCAAATCATCAAAGAAGAAAAAGATATGAAACAGTGGCAGCATAAACTTGAAGGAATGAAAAGAGCTATTCCTATGGAAGATGTCAGAAGAACTCCTAAACTACAGGCTGATAATATATGTGATGTGGCAAAGAACAAGTCTCATAAATTCTGTTCTCAAAAACTCTGGTCAACACAGATGCTACCTGAAGACAATGTTACACAAGATGTTGTGACATTGTGGTGTGATAATCTGAAAACATTCAACATTTCCTTAAACCCTATTGACTTTGGAGAGAAGAAATCATTTGAACTGAAACATAGGTTCTCTGAGCTTCAGCTAACTGATTCTTCTATCAAGGCGCTTGTTGGAAATCAACTTGAAAATTTGAAGGGCAGATTGGGTATTCACCAACATGAGAAATTATAGCAATTAGTTTTGCTGAAAACAAGGGTTGAAGGGATTAATTCTATTAAGTCTATATTTAGTGGGTTGATCATATTCATTCACAATTCCTTCAAAAGCCTTCAGAAGTTGAAAAGACTCCCTTGTACTCCCTATCTCTCTCATCCTTGCAACCTGTTTTCTCCTCCCAATCAAAGAGCTTTCTCAAATTGCTACTGCTACTCAACGTTAAACACAATGTCTCAGACATCATCTTCCACTATGGCGGCTTCATCTCACTCATCATCATCGTCATCTGATCAAGATTCTAGGGCAATCACGACATGCATAGAATCTGAAGTACT